TTGTTGAGGAGTGCAGCATCGGCCATCCACACATGAGCCACAATACTTCGGGCGGTACTGTTTCACACTTGAGCATCCTGCATAAGTGAACTTGACTGGAATGTGAGTCTTTTTGGTCTTGGTGCACTTCTTTCCCTTCTGGAAGAAAAGAGATTGTGTGGTTAGCCAAAACTCTTGACTAAAAGACACGCCCCCCCCCATCTAGAAATGACCACAAGAAGAGGGTGAAGATAAGGAAGACCCATTTACCTTCAAGGAGTCATAACTAGGCTGCCCGCATGGCCTCACTTCACATATCCTGGTCTCTTTAACCAGCCTACATCCAGGATTATCATTGGTGACTCGTGTAGAGACTCCAGTTCCACAGGTCTTTGAACACTGAGACCATGAAGTTGTTTGGACTAGGCATTTTGGATTCTCAAATGAATGGCTGTGAATGTCGGTTTCAAAGACTAAAAAACAGAAGGAAGAAAAGAATTAAGTTTCTCATACTTAGGGCTTAGCATGCCTAGCAAAAAGCCTGTAGACATCTATATATAACCCTACCACTACTTGGTATCAGAGGAAAATGTGCAGCCAATATTTATAACTCACCTGGCAAGATTCTCTGCTTTCTTTTTATCATGGATATTAATTTATTGTTTCTGATCAACTTTCCTTCAGAAGCATCCACATCAAAACCTTTGTCAATGAATCTTTCCAGCTGTTCCAGGTTATCTTTGGAGTCATCACAGACCCATTCCTCACAACACTGACCAGGGACTTTTACTAGTCTTGGGTTAGGACAGCCCAAATTTGGAAGGGAGAGTTCTTGAGAGCAGAGTGGGATGCAGCCAACAGCTCCATCTATGCATGTACACTGGTGTTTGCAATTGGGCTGAAAACTTTCTCCATTCTGATAAATTTTGGAGTTGTATTCGCAGGGTCTTCCTTCTGAATGCGCTGTAAAGGTTTTTTAAAAAAGGGAGAAACCATAAGTTGGGCTTCCAGTTTCCTCTAGCAGAGTGGTTCCCCCCCCCCTTGCTCTATTAAATCCAGTTTATGGGTAAAGAGCCCTACAATCCCCCAGAGCTTTAGGCTAGAACAATAAGTTAGTCAGGAATCACTTTTCCTTATGTGCTGTTACTGCAGTCCAGACATAGTGAATTGCATTCCAGACTGCTGAAGTAATATGCCCTTCTGCCAATCTACCACCAACAAAGCATAACCATACATGGACTGAAAAATTTCTAAACTTCACTATGACAAAAATGGGTTCGTATGTATCTGTATGAATGAGATGTTAAAAGAGCCAAGCTGCCAGCACTCTTACCTCTGCAGATTCCTTTCAGAGCCGTGGAACTGGCGCCAAAGTTGCATTCCAACCCTTTGGTGTGATCACAAGGCTGCGTCTTGCTGCAGTCCTCATTGAGCTGTTTGGCGCAGACTTTACAGCATTTACAACCATCCAAAGCCAGACCCACTCCTGGAGCACATTTGGGGACCTCCAGAGGACATTCACAAGTGTCTGGGCAGGAAGAAGAAACCACCTGCGGAGGAGAAACAAACGAACCATAGCTATGAGATATAACCGCCAGCTGTAAACAAGCTAGTGAAAGCCATCAGCTTTCCTCTGCCCTAAAGTAAGCAAAACGTTCAGGAAGTTCACTCAGCTACAGCCATTCAGTACTTTTTTTTTTTTTCATCTGGAAGTTGTTGAAGAGGCTTACTTTGGAGTTATGTCTTAAACCCAAACAGGAATGTGGGCCCCTGTTCTAACACACATTCACACATGCTGTATTTTTTCTTCTTGCATGCAACTTTATTTAAAAGAGGGGGGGCACATTTCTCACTGAAAATAAACGAAGAGGAAACAACAACAACAACCCTGCACCAATTTGAAATCCAAATCCAATACCTACCCTATTTACTAACTGAAGGAGGGCAAAAGCCAGGATCAAACAGCTGGTTCTCTGCGAGTTCATCTTCAACCGTTTTACAGACGCTGCAGATATACGGTCCTTTTTCTTCTTCTTCGCTCAAACCGAAGGAAGGAAGGAGGAAAAAAAAAAAGAGAGGGAGGGGAGCAAAACAGCAGGACTTGGGGGAGTTCGTTCTGCTCTAGCGGTGTTTTTCAAAGAAGGGTCGAATCCCGGAGGAATGCTGAACGCCTTCGCGACCGGCTCTAGCTTCTTTTTCTCGAGAAAGCCAGCAAGAAGGCACCGGGTCTCTTTTCGCCTTTTTTTTTTTTCTGCTTTTGCTCTTCCGCCTGACGTTACTGAGAGCACTTTGCCTGTCTGAGCAGAGGCAGAGTGGGAGCTGCCTTATATACCGTGCAGCTGCCGCCGCGTGCTGCAGCTCCGCTGACGTCGAGCCAGAATTCTAAAGCATCAGGAATTCTAAAGCATCTCAGGAATGTTTCCTTGGCGCGGTTTGCATCCAAGCTCCTCCCTGTCTAAGGGCTTCATGCATGGGGAGGTGGAGGGCGGGAGGGAGAGCTTACAGCAAGGGCTTTCTTTCCTTCCCCCCCCTCCTCCTCCTCTTCTTCCTCTTCCTCTTCTTCTTCTTCCTCCTCTTCCTTCTCCTCCTCCTCCTTCTCCACCTCCTCTTCCTCCTCCTCTTCTCTTCCTTCTCCTCCTCCTCTTCTCTTCCTCCTCCTCCTCTTCCTCTTCTCTTCCTCCTCCTCCTCTTCCTCCTCCTCTTCTCTTCTTCCTCCTCCTCTTCTTCTTCCTCCTCCTCTTCTTCCTCTTCCTCCTCCTCCTCCTCCTCTTTTCTCCTCCTCCTCCTCCTCCTCCTCCTCCTCCTCCTCCTCCTCCTCCTCCTCTTCTCTTCCTCTGCTTCCTCCTCCTTCTCTTCTCCTTCTCCTTCTTCTTCTTCTTCTCCTCCCTCCTTAGTTTCAACTTATGAAACCATCCTGTACACAGCTTTGGGTTTTCCTCCCTTTCACATTACATTTCCTTCACTTGGGGCCTGGGAAACTGGTGTCTTGTAGCAGATTGTCCATCCGACGGGATTGGCTAAATTAGTAGCTTCAATGCCAGGAAAGCTTGGAGGAAAGAAATGTGTATGTATTGATGGGAGGGGTAGGGGGAGAGGAACGGGAGATGGGAAGGGTACGGGACAGAACAGCCATGCAAATCTTTTCGACATTTGGGTGTGATCCAAAGCTGGAACAAAAGTGTGCATCCCCCCCCCAAAACAAACCTGGCGGCATGGTTTAAGCTTTATGAATGGGATTGTGTGTGGAGAAACTCTACGCTGGTCATCCCCATTTCTTAGGCGTTTGAAGGGAGGTGGGAAATATATCTTTCTCTGCCTTTACGTTTGGGGGGCTGTAGTTACAATCTGGCCCCTCTGCTCCTGAAAGCTTTGCTCCCGCTATTCCAGGTCACTGCAAGGAACACGAGTTGGCAAGCAAATGTTTTGATGTGCTTTTAACAAACCTGAGTGGCTGCCATTATTTATTAGATTTTTAACCTGCCTTTATTATTTTATCAGTAACTGAAGGCATACTTAATACTTCTTCCCACACCTCCCCTTGTTCCCTGCAACAACCCTATGAAGTGGGTTGGGCGGAAAGAGAACGACTCACCCAAAGTCACCCAGTCAGTTTTCCGGCCTAAAGTGGGACTAGAACTCACACTCTCCTACTTTCAAGACCAGCTACACCAACCTTTTGATTGGGATGTTATAATAAGGCCTCCTACCTTGAGCAGCTGGGATGGACTAGAAGCCTCCCGAGGTCCCTTCCAGTCCTATTGATTCTATTGTCTAATCTGACTTTCATCTTTCACATTCATACTTGGATGAAAAGGTTTTGGATTAGCTTTCCGCTTTGATTCTAATACACTTTGGAATGAAGGTTTTTTAAAAAGACACATTTCTTGATTTTTGATGTGTTTGCAGGTTGGGATACAGGCTGAAGGTGAGGAGGAATAAGAGGCTTCAATAAAAGCAAATGTGAAAGCTTCAAAGCTTCAAATAGAACAGTTGAACTTGCCATGACCTTTAATTCTGCACTGTCAATATAATAAACACTTAAATTGCATGCTCCAATTTACACATTAGTTATCAAAGCAATGGCTTTAAAATTATGAAATTGTTTAACTATTATCTACTTTGGAAAAAAAAAGTTTGATACAGTATCTTGGGGTTTTAACATTTGCATTACATTCAAAATGCACATGACCGCAAACCTCCACTATTTACAATTCTTCAGAGTCCTACATTTTGTTGAGGGCCTGAAACAGGTTTCTTTTTTAGGCCTGTCAGTAATGTAAAGCAACAGTAGATCTTCAGAATATTTCTCCTCTTAATACTTAATAATATTAATATTTACTTATAATTAATGCTCTTTGCTAACTATTCTTATCTTGTTTGAAGCTGGGGGAGCCGGTTGTTCCTAGCTTTTGTTGTTACCATTTGACTTCATGGCTGTAAATATTTCCAGATGGTGATTCAGACACTAGACGTAACAATATTTCCATATTTGGTAGAGCAGTAGCCTGCATTTTGCACATTTTTCTACTCTGTTATCCAACCACAAAGCATTCCTGACAGCTTCAGATACTGTTAAATATAGACTTCACTTTTGCTCCCAGGGCAGGAAATTCTTTGGAATTCCTGATGGGGTGTATTTCCACCTCCCACCCACCCTCTTCTTCAGTGGTCTGCCTATTATGGTTTAGGAGGAACAGCATTGGAAATAATAATTGTGGTTTGCTGATGAGGGGGGTGGGGTGGACTGGCTCCTTTTATGTGAAATACAGGGATCCCACTTGAGTTTGTAGCTAATTTTATTTCAATAGAGGTCTTAATGTTTGTTTTCAATAACTAAAACAGACCAGAGCAACATGCAAAAATCCCATT